GTGGCAAGTGCCTGAAGTCCCAGCTACTTGGGAAGCTGAGGTGGGAGGATCACCTGAGCCGGGAGGTCAAGGCTTCGGTGAGCCATTATTGTGCCACTGCACTCCAGCCTGGGTGACAGAAGGTGTGTAAGTGCTCACAAGGTGCTAAACCCTGGGATCAGATGGCAAACTAGTAATTTTTTTTTTTCTTTTTAAGACAGAGTCTTGCTCTGTCACCCAAGCTGGAGTGCAGTGGCACGATCTTGGCTCACTGCAACCTATCTCAAAAACAAAACAAAACAAAAGAAAAAAAACAATTGATATTTACACAGGGCATATTTGAACATCTTTCGAATTTAGCTTCCTTTAAGAATGAACATTAGGTCAGGCAAAGTGGCTCACGCCTGTAATCCCAGCACTTTGAGAGGCCAAGGTGGGCGGATCACGAGGTCAGGAGATGGAGACTATCCTGTCTAACACAGTAAAACCTAAAACTACTAAACTACTAAAACTGCAAAAAAATTAGCTGGGCATGGTGGCACACGCCTTTAGTCCTAGCTACTTGGGAGGCTGAGGCAGGAGAATCTCTTGAACCCAGGAGGCAGAGGTTGCAGTGAGCCAAGATCATGCCATTGCACTCCAGTCTGGCCAACAAGAGCGAAACCTCAAAAAAAAAAAAAAAAAAAAAAAGAATGAACATTAATCGGCCAGGCGCAGTGGCTCATGCCTGTAATCCCAGCACTTTGGGAGGCCGAGACGGGTGGATCATCTGAGGTCAGGAGTTTGAGACCAGCCTGGCCAACATGGCAAAACCCGGTCTCTACTAAAAATACAAAAAAATTAGCCGGACATGGTGGCGCACACCTGTAATCCCAGCCACTTGGGAGGCTGAGGCTGAAAAATTTCTTGAACCTTACAGGAGGAGGTTGCAGTGAGCAGAAGACATGCCATTGCACACCATCCTGGGCGGCTGAGAAAGACTCAGTCTCAAAAAAAAAAAAAAAGAATGAACATTAGTGGTTTATCCTAGGAAATTATGGACTGAAACAAAATTAAATATAAAATTTTAAAAGAAAAATGAGTATGTGATTTTATTTATTTGAGACAGAGTCTCACTCTGTTGCCCAGGTTGGCATGCAGTGGCACATGAGCTCGGCTCACTGCAACCTTGGCCTCCCAGGTTCAACCAATTGTTCTGTCTCAGCCTCCCGAGTAGCTAGGATTATAGGTGGGCACTACCATGCCTAGGTAATTTAACAGGGTCTCACCATGTTGGTCAGGCTGGTCTTGAACTCCTGACCTCGTGATCTGCCCACCTTGCCCTCCTAAAGTGCTGGGATTACAGGCATGCCCAGCTGAGTATGTGATTTAAAAATATATATATATATTTTAATTAGGCATTTGGATATGAGTTAGCATATCAGGGGATAATAACATGAACTCTAGTAAACTCTAGTCACTCCCTTGGACCACACCCATCTATATAAACGCAGGATACCAGCGGTTTATCCAGATCAGGTTCTGAACTGATACTTTGCCTAGAACCTTTGTATCATTTAAAAGCAATTTAGAGTAACACGGTATCTTAGGATCTGAAGGCTTTTACAAAGTTACCATTTCATGCATAACAAACCAATGTAAGTTAATCACCTGAGCTGATAAACAGTTCAGGTATTTTTTCTACTTAATTCCAAACATGCTTGGCATTAGCACCACAAATTTCATGTCAATTGATTCAAACTTTGTTTATGAAACTTCAAATTTACTCCATTTCTGGAGGATCACCTTGTTTTCACCTTACTTTTTACTTTTTTATAGGGCTGAAAATTTATGGTATACCTATCTTTAAAAAATAACGCATTAACCACAGAAAATTGAATTGTGATTTTTTAAATGTTTATATGAAAAATTATTTATAATAATGATAAAGATGGAAAATACGTTTGATATTGAGATGAAAATTAACCTGTTGACTGTCAAGTAGAGTATACACTTTGGAGTAGGTCTTTGTGGTGTAATTAGTTGAACTATGTAATTAACTCTTTGGCTTAATTTTATAAGATAAAGGAGGAGGTATGGGAGTTAATGTGTATTCTTTACAAATAAAATAACATTTAAAAATATTTACAGACAAAGGAGAAAGCTACGGAATTTTCTCCAGAAAATTTCAGAAGTCACTGAAATTTTTCCAGTGACTTTTGTCAATAGGTAAACATTTTATTTATTCATTAGTCAACAAATATTTATGTGCCCACAAGGTACTAAACCCTGGGATCTGATGACAAACCGGTAATTTTTTTTCTTAAGACAGTCTCACTCTGTCACCCAAGCTGGAGTGCAGTGGCATGGTCTTGGCTCATTGCAACTTCTGCCTCCTAGGTTCAAGAGATTCTCCTGTCTCAGCTTCCTGAGTAGCTGGGATTACAGGTGCCCACCACCATGCCCAGCTAATTTTTGTTTTATGTAGAAACGGAGTTTTGCCATGTTGCCCAGGCTGCTCTCAAACTCCTGGGCTCCAGCAACCCTCACAGCTTGGCTTCCCAAAGTGCTGGGATGACAGGCCTGAGCCACCTCGCCTAGCCACAAACTGGTATATCTTATTCAGACATTTATAGCATTTCCAATTTTATACACATATTTGTATAAATATGTATGTAGAACACCTTTAGTAGTACACTCTTTAATTTTTTTAAGACTTTACTTTTCAGAGTAGTTTTAGGTTTACAGCAAAACTGGGCAGAAAGTACAGAGGGTTTTCATATACTTCCTGCATTCCCTCTACCAGCCTCCTCCACTATTAACATCCTGCACCAGAGCGCCATATTTATTACAATTGATGGACATATATTAAACACATCATTATTACCTAAAGTCCATAGCTGACATTAGGATTCACTCTTGGTGGTGTATTTTCTATGGGGTTTGACTTATATATGACATGTATACACTATTATAGGATCATACAAAATAGTTTCACTCACGGCCCTAAAAATCCTGTCATCTATTTGTCCCTCTTTCCTCTGCTCCATAGCAACCTTGGATCTTTATACTGTCTTCATACTCTTCCCTTTTCTCAAACTGTTGTTTTAAAACGAGGTTTGGGTAAACATAGTTTAACCAAGGTCAAGTATAATATAACTGATCTTTACTGATTATATTCAATTTAGCAAATTTGTCGACTCTTAAGAATATCTACTTTCACATTTTTTTGGCCTCATTTTCTGTGTTCTTATTGATCATACTGTATAAAATCTTTCATTGTAAGGTTCCAGAAAACATTTTTGAAAAAAAAGCAGAATATAACAAAACGCTTAAATTAAGCAATTGGTGTAGTTCCTCAAATCTAAGAGGGCATTTAATTATAAGATGTAGCACTATTTTATATATCACTAAGATGCACTATTATTTTATATTTGAGTAAGAAAAAACACATGCCATTGGCTGGGCGCAGTGGCTCTGGCCTGTAATCCCAGTACTTCGTGAGGCAGAAGTAGACAGATCACCTGAGGTCGGAAGTTCGAGACCAGCCTGACAAACATGGAGAAAACTCTTCTCTACCAAAAATACAAAATTAGCCTGGCGTGGTGGCACATGTCTGTAATCCCAGCTACTAGGGAGGCTGAGGCAGGAGAATTGTTTGAACCTGGAAGGTGTAGGTTGTGGTGAGCCAAGATTGCGATATTGCACTCCAGCCTGGGCAACAAGAGTGATTCTCCACCTCAAAAAAAAAGAAAAAAAAGAAAGAAAAAGCATAAATAATGTAAACTCACCTAGGCTGAAGAAACAGTCCCAGCATCTTCTTGGAATGACTTAAAATGAGGACAAATAGTTACCTTAATACCCAAAGTGACATTTCTTTCCATTTTAGAGCTGTGCAATTAAAAATTTCTAGTAGCTAGCCACAGTTAAAGTATTTAAAAAGAAAGGCCAAGCGTGGTGGCTCACGCCTGTAATCCCAGCACTTTGGGAGGTGGAGGTTGCGGTGAGCCCAGATTGCACCATTGCACTCCAGGCTGGGCAACAATAGCTAAACTCCGTCTCAAAAAAAAAAAAAAAAATTAGCCTGGTGCTGTGGCAGGCGCCAGTAATATACCAGCTACTCAGGAGGCTGAGGTAGAAGAATCACTTGAACCCGGGAGGCGGAGGTTGTCGTGTGCCAAGATCGTGCCCCTGCACTCCAGCCTGGGTGACAGAGTGAAATTCCGTAACAAATAAAAAAAAAAAAGGAGAAATTAACTTAGTGATTTATCTAATTTAATGTAATATATCCAAAATATTATCTATTCAACATGCAATCAATATAAAATTTACTAAGTAGATGGTCTTCCACATCTGGTGTACTGTTTATACTCAGCTCCAAAGAGGGGCAAGCTGCCTTTCCAACCCTCACTTAGCCACACGTGGCTACCGTATTGGACAGCAGTCTTAGGGGATTTCAATATCAACGGATTCTTTAATTCTGAGTTTGAGAATTTCTTTTTATAATACACACGGTTGCTAAGGCGCATGAAGATTATTTTACTCTCGGGTCCGTTTTGATCCAAGATACTACTGCATTAAAAGCAGTTAACAGGGAAGGAAATGGGCAACCCTCGCGCCCAGGAACGTGGCCTGGAGGAGGGCCTGGCTGCTCCTATCAGTGCCCGGCGGGGAAGCTGCAGATACTGCGTTGGAAGCTGGATTTCGAGACCAGCTCCTGCAGTTGCCCGGAACCCGTGTCTTTTTCTGGGGTACTCGGGAGCAACAGGGCGGGAGGCAGGGAGAGCAGCCTCCTGGCCAGACACAGGGTCCCGAGCCGCCACTGCCGCCGAGGCAGCCGGGCCCAGGGCCGCAGAGCTTCCCGCCTTGGTGGGCGGCAGCGGGAGGCGGGAGCAAGAGAAAGCCCGGCCAGCGTCCCGCGGGCAGCAGGACACACTCTCCCCGGCGCGCTCGCGCCGGCGCCGCAGCGGGCGCGCGGGCGGCAGGGTGGGCGTGGAGCGGTGGGGGTACCGCCCCTGGGAGAGGCGGGCGCCGCGGTTCCGGGGGCGGGGCGCGCCGGGGAGTGGGGCGTGAGCCGCCGGTTTTGATTAGTGCGCGGAGCTGCGGCGGCGGAGCCAGGCGGCGAAGCTGCTCGGCCGGAGTCCCGGCGGCGAGACGGGGAGGCGGCGGAGGTGCGGGCTCGCAGGTTCCGGCCGGCGGCCGCCAGGGTCGAAAAAGGCGAGCCGGAGCGCTGGGCCGCGGTCGCCCAGACCGGAGCCGGGAGACCGCAGCGCCCGCAACCACCCGCGAGCGCGCCGGGGACAGCGCGCGGGCGAGAGCGTGCGGGCGGGGGCGCGCAGGCCCTGCCCGCCCCTTCCGTCCCCACCCCCCTCCGCCCCTTCCTCTCCCCACCTTCCTTTCGCCTCCCGCGCCCCCGCACCGGGCGCCCACCTTGTCCTCCTCCTGCGAGAGCGCTGTCTGTGTTGGCGGCCGGAGCGGGCCGGGCCGGGCCGGCGGGCCGGGGGATGGCGCTGCTGGACCTGGCCCTAGAGGGAATGGCCGTCTTCGGGTTCGTCCTCTTCTTGGTGCTGTGGCTGATGCATTTCATGGCCATTATCTACACGTGAGTGAGGGACAGCAAGAGGGGCGCGGGGCAGGGGTCCGGGCCTCGGGGACAAGCGAGAATGGGAAACGTTTGTGCTTTGGAGGGGACCGAGCTCGGGTGGGGGTGGAGAAAGCTGATCCTCACGCTGTTGTCCCCGTTCCTTCACCCCTTGGGCCGGCGGTGGCGGTGGGCTTCGCGAGGGAAAAGTGTCGGGTGAGGGAAGGGTTTGCTGGGTTGCAGGCGACTGCACAGCCCGGCGAAAAGAGACTGCTCTTACGTGTCAGGCGGAAGGTGGTGTCTCGGTTTGACTGTGCTGGGGATTCGTGTGATTTTCATCTGGGCCGAGATGTATGGTGTATTGTTTTTTTTCCCCTACCTGGGCCACGTTTCTGTTAGGGTGTTGATTGTGTCCACTCTTCTGGGAGCTGCTCACAGCTATCTGGACACCTCCCTGTGGATTTTCTTCTTCCTGGAAAGGCTCTATACGCTTAGGTAGGTGTGAAGCACCTGTCCACCCTGAAAAATGCCCACGAAATCTCCGAGCTGGCGTGATAGCTTTGAGTCCTGTCAGTTCGGACATCTCAGCGTGGTTTTCTTCCTTTTTCCAATTCCTCGTTTTATTGTTTTATGTGGATTTGTACTGTCCTCTCCGCCAGCCACATCTTTTCATTTTTGCTTAACAAATACTTCTTGAGGCCTACTAGATAATTCACTGTTCTTGGGCAGGGGACACGGTGATGAGCAGGACAGAATTCCTGTCCTCATGGAGCTTTCATTCTAGAATGAAGAAGCCAATAAAATCCAAATAAGGTTATGAGATTTTGATGACACATATAAGTAAAATAAAACTGGGTGATGGGATGGATGGAGACATGGGATATATGGCTAGTTTGATATATTCACTGTTGAAGGTGAAATCTTCCTATGTAAAGAAATGAAAGAATTATATAGAGCACATTGCTGATGTCGATTCACTTGGATTTTTAGTCTGGGAAAAAAAGGAACAATTGTATATAGTAATCGTTACTGTGAACTAGAATAGAATATATGTTAGTGGAAGAGACTTTAAGAAATTAGTTACTTTTAGGGTTTTTTTTTCTTTATTTTTTAATTTTGTTTCTTTCTCATCTGGTAGACAAAGATTTTTTTTTTTTTTTTCCTTTTTACTGTGGTGAATGTGTGCCTTTTCTTTTGGAAACACTGTATTTTATTAGTCTAGTGTGGCATTTCCTGGTACTGAGAAAGATGCTGCTAGGTACAGGATACACTGATATTTCTTTGAAAGTGAAAGAAAACGTGCCATTTGGATATTGTTGACTTTAGTTTTTGGAGTTTATGACCTTAGTCACTGAGCACATTCCAGAGTTCATTTAAAATATATGAGTTCTTTAAAAAATTGCTAGTGTTCACAGTCATGAATTTCTACTATGTAAGGAAATTATGCAATAGAGAGGGATAAAGAAGAAAATTAAAACGTGTGCACACCAATACTACATTACCATGTTAACCTTTTGTGACTGTCTTTCCAATTACATTTCTTTGTGTGTGTGTGTGTGAGAGAGAGAGAGAAAGAGAAGGAGAGGGGAGAGGGGGAAGAGAGAAAAGGACTATATTATTATTATCATCTGTAACCTGCTTTAAAGGTCATCTATTTAATAAATGTTTCTAGAGAAGCTGTTTTGTGCAAGGCACTGTTGTAGTTGCTGGAAGTAAGAGTGAAGAACAAACATCCAAGGCCCCTATTCACATGGAACTGCCCTGTAAAATGTCATGACCATTTTTTTCATGTCAATAACTGTATGATCTCTGCATCATTTGTAATAGATGCATGATATTTTAGTTTACCGGGTACTAAGATTTCCTTATTATTAATGATGGATGTTTAGATTATTTCCAGTTTATCTAGATTGCAGACAACACTGTGATGAATTTATATGCATACATCTTTGAGAAATGATCTCCTTAGTTTAATTTCCAAAAAGGGAATTATTGGGCCAGAAGTGGTGCACATTTTAAACTTTGATATATTTTGGCCCCATAGAAATGTTATGTATATTCACAGTCCTGGCAACATTGTATGATGGCCCCATTTTGCCTTACAAACACTAAGTAGCAGACATTTCACTGTTTTTTGTTTTCCATTCCTTTAATTACTAGTTACATTGAGCACTTTTTAAATATGTTTACATGCTAGTTACATTTAGATGTAAATTACATACTCATAAGCCTTTGCCTGTGCTGTTGTCTGTTGCTAAATCCATCTTTGTGATATAAAGGTTGTTTTTCTGTTACCTGTATATATATATAGCATTCTTTTCCCCAGTCTGTCTTTTGTCTTTCAACTTTGTACATATATTTGACATGGAGAAAAGTGTGTGTGCATGTCTGTTTTTGATAGACAGATCTTTCTGTTTCTTTTACATTTTCTAACTCTTATAATTTCTGTATTTTCTTTATTCCTCCAAATTATTATATATGTTAGTCTCTGTTTTCTCTTAGTATTTTTATTTTTTTCTTAATTTTTTCACGTATTACTCTTTTTTTTTTGTTGTTACATGTATTACTCTTAATTCACCCAGTATTTTACTTTGTTATATGAGAGCCAGAGCCCTAATTATAGTTTTGTCTAAATATTTAGGCACTTGTCCAAAATTACTTATCAAATGATTATTTGATTATTCCACTATTTTGAAATATTTTTATTACAGACTAAATTTTTCTTTATACTTGGCCATGTTTCAGAGCTTCCATTGCCATTTCATATATGTACTAGTTTTTGTTCCAGCATCCATTGTTTTTGTTTTGTTTTGTTTTTGAGACAAGGTCTCACTCTCTCACCCAGGCTGGAGTGCAGTGGCACAATTTTGTTTTCCCAGGCTCAAGCCATCCTCCTGCCTCAGCCTCCCAAGTAACTGTGACTGCCACCACGCTCAGCTCATTTTTTTTTTTTTGGTAGAGGCAGGGTTTTACCATGTTGGCC